GAGTCGAGGATCTCACGGGCGTGGATCTTCTGGATTGACATGGCTGTGGGGAAGGAAGGAGGCAGGTGATCCATGGGGCTCCGGGGGGTGGGGGAGAGGAAGTCGGGCTGAGCCAGCAGCAGGCACGGCTCCCGGCCCGGAACCCTCCTCCTGGGGTCCCTTCCCAAGTCACCCCCCTGCCTTTTCCAAGGGAGTTACCACGGGGCCATCACATGCACCCTCCCCTTCCCAGACCCTCTTTGCCAGCTGGTGGCGGGGGGGGGGCTTTGTCTTGCATGCTGCGAGGGGGAAGGGAAGGGGCAGCTGCCAGGACTATAAATAGCCTTCCCTCTCATTCACAAACACACACACACACACACACACACAGACTCTGTGTGTCCCCTTCCCAATCCAGGCAGGAAAAGGTCACCCCTCTAATGCAAGGCACTCAGGATGCTGCAGTGGCTGTCTCGGGGGGGGGGCATCGGGAGGGTCCCTTGCCGGCACCCCCACCTTGCAACCTCAGACCCATCTCTGCCCCCTCACATTTCTGAACACTTGCAATACCCTTCGGAACTGCAAAATGAGCCTCTGGCGGCCAAAGGCTCCTACCCACCCGGTCAAGTGGAGGGGATCGTTCAAAAGGGAAAGCAAAGCAGGGGTTTTGCTCCAAACTGGCCGATCACCTATGGGGGTCTCCCTTTGAGGTGGGCGGCTGGGAAGCCTAGTCCAGAAGACCCCCCCCCCTTCCTGTCTGCAGCTGCCGATGTATTTCAAGCCTGGGGTTGCCTGGGGAAGTGCTCCAGCAGAAGAATACCTCCCCGCACGTCCTGGGCTACCTACCCCCCACCCCCTGCCACACCTGGGAGTGACCCCCTGCGCTCCCTCTCCCCAGGGAAGACTCACTCGCTCACTCACTCACTCGCTGGTTGCTGTGGGGATGATGTGGGGGGGTCAGTGGCTGCAGCAGGGAGATGCCGGCAGTGCCCAGGCTGGTCTCTGACGCCTGGCCTTTATACTGGGGAGATCTGGTGACAGTCCCGCCTCCCCTCTGTCCCATTCGGGGCCCTCCTCCCAAGCAGGCCGGTGGGAGGGCAAGCGGGCGAGGGGGCCGGGCAGGCCGGAGGGAAGGACGGGATGGGACCAAGGGGGGGCAGGCAGGTGGCACACACCTTCCCCCTCCCCCATGGCTGCTCAACAGCCCAGCCTTGTCCATTCCCCTCCCAGGGAGTCAAGGAAGGAGGAAGGGATCCTGCCCCCCCCGGTGTCTCCCCCCCCCCAAATTTACCTGGCTGTGCTTTGTGACTCTGTCCCTGCAGGTAGGGCTGAAAGGAGACATGTAGGCAAAGGGCAGTTGGGTGGGTGGGGGACAAGATAATGTTGCACTTCATTGACTGACTAACAATTGTATTTCAAGTTGAGTTCCCCCGGAATAAAAACCATTTTCTCTCCCCCCCCATTTTGCCAACATGCTGAGAAAGGGGGGGGTAAGACAGTGATGGTCTTTGGAGACTGGCCACTCTGCCCTGAGTCACCTCCCCCTCCCCTTGCAGAAGGACTTCCTCTGGGGCTTTACCGGGGGGGGGCTGAGAAAGAAGGACCCCCTGCCTGCCGTCCCAGACAGCCTCTGCTGTTGCAGCTGTCCTGGGGGAGGCCAGGCCAAGCCCGAAAGCGCCTCTGGAAAGAAGGACTTCAACCTGACGCCAGACACGGGTCTCGGATGCCCCCCCTGCTCTGCCCAGTGCCTGCCCGCCTGCCCAGCTGGAGCGTGATGTGGTTCGTGACCCAGGCCTGTGCCCCGCTGTGTGCCAAGGGGCAAGCCTGGCTTGAGCAGGGAAGGGCTGCTCTGCAGAACCTTGCACCACCGCGTTTGGGTGCCCGGCTGGGTCAGAGCCCGAGGGAGAAGGTGGCGCTCAGCATCCTGCCTCCCAGTGGGAAGGAAGGAGAGAGGGAGGGAGGCTGGGCGCAGAAGGGGGGGGGTCCTCTCCCCTCCCCTCCCCTGCAACAGGTGTTTTGGGGCAAGAAAAGAACCTGCAGAAAGAGCTCAGCCCAGCCTCTGTGTGTGGAAGGAGCCTCTCCTCTGCGGGTGACCCTGACCTCCTCTCTTTATTCCTCTCGTTGCCTGTGAAAGCTATGATGCCGGTGACGGTGAGTGCCTGCCTCTCATGGGGGCAAAGGCATGCAAGCATTTGGAGCAGCAGGTGAAAAAAAGGTTCTCTCATCGGATGGACCTCCAAAACGTGGCCTCCGACTGAATGACACGGGATGTGTCTGTGGAGGTGGAGGTAGGCTACTTCAGTTGTCAGGATTTGCCCCTCACACTTGCCACTCTTCTGGAGTGGAAATGGAAGCAGGTGGGTTGATTGGGGGGGGGGAGATCCAGGGTATGAGCGGCGTTCATGGCCAAGCTCCGACCGTCCTGGGCTTCCCCTCGGTGTGGCTGAACCACCCTCCCTGCCGGGCCTTTTGCAGGGCTGGAAGGGCCACGGAATGCTGCGGCCCCCCCACTCCCCTTTACCCACGAGGTGCTCCCTGGCAGGATCCTGTCCTCTGGCCACCGTTCTCCACTGCCCAGCGCCTCCCAGACACCCCCACCCCCAGAAGGAGCAGGTCCCTCCTCTAATGTCTTGGCCTAAATTTAGAGCGCGCTAAATGTCAAAGGGACCATTCCAAGCCGCCGCTTAAAGGACGAGCCGGTAACCTTAGCTCCTGCTCACCTTTCACAGGCCTGGAATGGGGGGTCCCACCTCTGGGGGGGGGCTGTGGAGGAGCCCCCTGCCTCCCCCCGAGGCACCCAGGATCCTTGAGCCGGCCTCCAGGGCGGGTGGGGGTAGGGAGGCAGTCTGATAAAGGTTCTGGGGGTTGGAATGGGAAGACTCGAGGTTTGGAACACGGTTCAGCCTCTGGTGCTTCTGGCAGAAATCAAAGGTGAAGCGGATCCCTCCTAAGAGGAGCTGCAGGGAATGATGCATGGATGCAAAGGAGCAAAGGAGACCTGAGGCGCGTTGGGGGGCCAAATGCGGGCTTGCAAAGAAGGGCTGCAGAAGAGAGAAGCTTCCATCCCCCCCCCCAGGGATGTCTGAGAAGAAGACTGCTGGGGGCCTTCCCCAGCTGTCCATGCAGGGGAGGGGGAGGCCTTTCTCTCCCCTTGGGATGGCCTCCGAGGGGGGGGGGAGGCTGCGCCAGGCAAAGGTCACAGGGCTGTAGTTTCCCGTCTTGCCCTTTTGCCCATGACTCCTGGCATGGGGTTTCATTGGGGAAGGCAGTGCCTGCTTATGGGTTGGCAGGTGGGGGGGGGAAAGGGTGGCAACACCTTTCAGGCCCAGCACGTGGCGCCATCTGGTGGAGAGTCCTGATTTCTATCCGTTTTCCATTTGCAGGATCCTGCCATGACATGCAAGAGGCTTCAGAGTTAGAAGAAGACCAGAACCATCTTGCACAGACAGCCTAAAGTGGCCGCACGGAGGGAGACCCCAAAGAGGAAGAAACGTGGGACAGGTTACTGGGGGAGGGGGGAAGAGAGCAGCAGGCACCTTTTCCCTCCTGAGGTTCAGGAAACACTGGAAACAGGAGGAGTAGTCCCCCCAGATGCTGCCAATATTTTTATTTTCTTGTTCTCCCTCTCCCTCTCTTTTTCTTTTTTCTTTTTTCTAAATCACCACATGGTCCTAGGTATTGTTATGTAGGGTCTGTGGGATTTTTCAGTTTAAACTCGTAAATCGCCCAGAGGAGGGCATGCCTTAAGCTTAAGGGGATGTCTTTGGACAAAACGCCGGCTCTACGGCTTGAAAACGCGATGAGCACCACCCCC